ATTTCAGATGATTCAAAAGATGCTGATTCCTTATCAGATGAAGCTACCCACAATAGCAATCAAAATAATGGCAACTGTTCCTCTCCTTCTCGAATGTCAGATTCTGTTTCCTTAAATACTGATAGTAGCCAAGATATTTCTCTCTGTTCTCCAGACAAAGAAACACATGCTGCTGTTTTATCCAAGATCAGGTTTGTAAAATACTGTATACCACTGAGCAAATATAATAGAAAAATGTTACTTAATATTTCATATTACATGTCTATTCCTTTAATTCATTAATGATTCCTTTATCATTCATGAAATAATTTTAAATTTTAATGTTTTAAAATAATGTTAAATAATGGAATAGTTATATAAAAAAAAAAAAAAAACACCACACCAAACCCAAAACCAACAAAAATCCAGGAGGAAAATAAAATTCAGAGGCTAATTTTAGTATATAGGACATGGTTCCCATCTGTTTTAATAATAGGGTCTAATAATTTAATCCTTATAATTTGTTATCTCTGCAAAATACTTCAATACACCATTTTAAAAGCTCTATGTTTCTATTTGCATAATTTTGAAGATCAATTTGATTAATAACATAACTATAAAAGGCTTTTAGAAACTTATAAAGAATAGGCTTACAGGTTGCTACTCTTCTGGAGGTTTTAGTTAGAAGGTGACTTTTTTTTTAAAATTGCCAATAGAAACAAGACATTTGTCCAGAATTGTCATGGAACTTGCAAGTATTTGATAAAAAAACATTGAGTTATTGTCACTTTGTACTTTTTGACACTTTTAAACTGTCTTTAATTCCTGTTGAATTTAAACAAACTTCTGGAATCAGATGACACAAACATTGCCCAAATGAGCCCTCTATATTTTGGAATGGTAAGATAGCAAGTCATACATCTGGTTGTATGTTGCTCTTTGTCCTTTTTTGTGTGCACAGTATGGCTGTGTTTCATGTTAATGATTATTTTTTCTAAAACAGTTCTTAAAGGAATATGTTGGTTCCTTTTGGGATTTCTTTTAAGAGCCATCTTTTTTTCCAGGCGAGAAGACGAAAATTTGAATAATCTTTTGCAAAATGGAGGTGAATTGAGCATTACAGTAGAAGAAAAAATAAACGTGCAAGAGAAGGTTTCAAATTTGTCTGAATATGAATTAAGCATTGAAGAAAGATTAGGCCTGATAGGAAAAGGTGTTGATCTAAGCACTCCTACAGAGGAGTCTCACAAATTAGACCAAATAAACATGAATATCAATAAACTGGTTAGTGAAGAGGCAGTGCCAGTTCCTGTAGAAAGGTTACAAACACAGGAAGTAGTTTCAGTAAAGGGCTTTTTGAATAACAACATGAAAGAAGAAAGTGAGCACTTGGAAAATGGAAATAAATATCCTATAAATAAAGTAAATGGACATCCTGAGGAAGCAGTACAGGCTCCCAGTAACAACGAACTAACGAGAAGCACTACAGTTGATGGCACTTCTGCTGAGCTATCTGTTTCGAGGAGCATTGAAGATTTGTCCCCACAGAGAAGTGGTCCTGTGATGAAATCTCACAGCATCACCAGTATGGACACTGGTGGTCTGAAGATCTATGATATTGTCGATGAGAATGGATCTCAACAGCCAAATTCAGTGGTAAAATCAGCATCTGATATTGCAGATGGAAAAAACATAGTCCGAAGTAAATCCGCTACTCTTCTGTATGATCAGCCTTTGCAGGTTTTTCCTGGGTCGTCATCATCATCTGATTTAGTATCTTCTGCAAAAACTGTGTTCAAGTTTGACTCAAATCACAATCCTGAAGGTGCTAATGTAGTGAGAGGATCAGTGATAAGTGGTGCACAGATGTTCTGTGCTCCCCAGTATAACATTCAGTACAGCAGCAGTGCAACAGCGAAAGACACCTTGTGGCCCCAGAAACAAAACACCCAAGCAGAACAAGGCAGCTTACCTCCTTCACGTCTGCTGAGATCTGACAGTACAGAAACCCCCAGCTATGTAAAGCATTCTGCCAATATGAATTTCTCCAATCATAACAATGTCAGAGCGAGCACTGTGTATAACACTCATCAACGGATGGCTGGGAGACATATAGATTTGTGGGCTATTCCACCAAATGATAGACTGCTTCCAGGAGCAACCAGACACACTCTTCAAAGGCAGAGCAGTGTGTCTTCTACAGCTTCTATAAATGTTGGGGATACTGGACCTTCAAGGCGGACACAAGTTCCTGAAGGGGATTATTTAACGTACAGGGATTTGCATTCAATGGGGAGAGCTCCACCAGTAATGTCTGGGCAACAGAGACCTCTTTCTGCCAGGACGTATAGCATTGATGGCCCAAATGTACCCCGACCACAGAGTGCTCGGCCGTCGGTGAATGAAATACCAGAAAGAACTATGTCAGTTAGTGACTTCAATTACTCACGGACTAGCCCTTCAAAGAGATCAAACCCAAGGGTTAACTCTGAGCACTCTTTATTAGACCCTCCAGGAAAAAGTAAAGTCCCTCATGACTGGAGGGAACAGGTGCTGCGACATATTGAGGCTAAAAAGCTAGAAAAGGTAAAAATAATAATTTTCAAACTTCTCTACCTTTCCATTATCTGGATATGGAATAAGTTAAATACTCTGTGTTTTGAACTGCTTTTAATTACCACTGAAAATGTACTTCTGATACTGTTTTAAAAAGGATAAATGTGTTTGTGATGAATATCTGAGAAATAGTCAAATGATAGACTCTGAACTTTTCCCCCAAAGAAAAAAAAGTCCCTGTTGTTTTTACATCATACTTGCCAGCTTAGTCCAATTACTTTAGAATACATTAAATAATGTCACATTGACCTGCTGGACTGCAAGGCCAGCTCTTTTAGGCCATGTAATTTTTATTGTAGCATTGTATTCGTATTATACTAAAATACTCCCTTACACTGTCTGTTCTGCCTTTTTTCCCCCCTATATCTTCTCTTTAAGAACAAGGAAGAGAAAATCAGTAAAATCTATTTGGAAATATAGGTCTACAGCTTCAGTTGCTGAAGAATTCAAAAGCTATAATTAACATGTATTTGCCTCCAAGCCAGTTGTCTTTTGAAGTTGGGTATCTGACAGATTGCTGAATGAATATTTATTGCTGTGAGATGAGAACACTTAAAAATCTTGTTCATTTTGGGAAATCACAGGAGGTTTTGATATAACTAGAGATTATGAACAGGATTCTTTATGTACTGTAAATGCTATCAAGAATTTGAGCTGATAGTAGAGCTGAACAATTATATATCTTCAAAGAATTTGAGTAGAGACTGGAAGAGTGTTATCTATGCTGTCCAGCTAAACCAGTTTAAAACATCATCAGTAACGAATGGGTAGAATGTCATTAACCTGATCCTGTTTCCTTGGAGGGGAAGTGAATAAAGCAGCCAAAACACATTTTGATTATGCCAGCTAGATGGATTTTCTTTTTTAATTTCTTTCAAAAAAACATAGTTTGCTTTGTGATTATTATGCTAAATATGTCAATATCCGTGATAGCTAAAGAAATTTAACTGGAGGTGGTTGGAAAAATTACTTTTAACTATATTTTTTTTTTTTTTTAAATCAAGTATTTGGAGGGATGGGGTTTTTTTTGTTTAAGCTGCCTAACTTCTGGTGATAGAAAGGGATGGGTTTTGTTTGTTTTTCAAACAAGCCTGCACAACAGCTGCACCTGTTCTTCTGATCCGGTTTGAGTCAGGTACAACATAAAATATTTTAAGGCTTTCACAGTAGTGTGCTATAGTGTGGGGACCTTTCGTCCCACAAGGTGGTCACAAACCTCACCATGTTCCAACCCTAATAAAAGGTGCATTCTTTGATCTTCCATTCTCCTGGATGCCTATATCAAATCTTACGTGAAATGACAGAGAAGCAGAAATCCCAGCAATCCCTGTACGTAGAGGGAAACGAAACTTCAGTGCACTGCTAATGCAGTTTGTTTATAGCTCATTCTTATATTGTCTACATTTGACATGTTAGGAACAATGTTCCTAACACACGCTAGTGATATCTGTTCAGGTACTGTAGCAGTGTAGTCACCTTTACTGAAATGAAATCGATTCCCTGACTTGATTCCTTTTATATCTGTCCATACTTTCTATCGTGCTTTATATGTAAACCTTAATTTTTATTTCCTACTAGAGTGATATGGAATAGCTGCTATTGAGATCTTAGCCGTGCATCTAATTTAACAGATCTTAGAAGTCTGTTTTGTATGTGCGTGTTTGTTTTATTCTGGCCTTGAAGCATTTTAAAGTAGCTTTTACTTAGCAATCTGTGACTTATTTATGGGTATAAAAGTGAATGTGCATATAATTGTCTACTTTATATTCTCTGGGATATGACTGACTTAAAAAGAAAAATCTGAACTGTGAAAAATGTAGATATGATTCTATATGGCAGCTGGCAAATATGATAATGTGGAAATTCTAGGAATTTACTAGATATTTCTTTGTTCTTTTAAAATAATGGTTTCGGTATTTCTGTTTGTAATTAAAAATTAGCTGGGCGAGGGGGGCTTAATCTATAAACCAGACTTCTGAAATGTTTTGAAGTCTGAAAAAAAATTTCAGTAATTACAGAACTCATTTAAGGAACAAGCATTTAAGGAACAAGTTCAATTACAGAGCTCATTTAAGGAACATTTAGTGGAAATTGCTTTGACAAATCTTTCATGGATTTAAAATGGCATTTCTTTTTTTAAAGCATAATACCCAGCATTGACCAAAACAGGTATACAAAATTAAGCCTTATGATGAATATTTAATTAATGTCTTCTTGCCTGTGGTTATACACAACAGTATGGTTAATAGTATTACCTTTGCTGTGACTCTTTTGAGTCTGTTACTGAATTTAATCATGTTTATTATTTCTATCCTGTGCTTATTAGAAAAGAGGGTATAGTAGGTTTTGGAGGATAGGTTTTGTTGTGGGTTTGGGTTTGTTTTGTTTTTTTTTTTCTTTTTGCTAAGCTCCTGAAGTACTTGTTTATTTTGTTTTTATAAAATTTAGTAACTGGAGGGAGAGAGAGAGAGGAAGGTGAACCCACTTAAATAAACAGTGTCTACTTGTTGGACAAATTGGAGAAGCTAGTTCTTGTTTTATTTATTAGCCCTTTTTACCTGATAGATGTAAGAAAAAAAAACTTTCAAGAGTTTAATTTGCATGAGGAGAGATACTGGATAGTTTTAAGTCCAGCAAAAATGATGAACAATGGATTCCAGCCAAGTAACCAGCATTTGTAGTCCCTTTGACAAATTGTAAGGGGGCATATGCCAGTCAACTAAAATTATCCATCTGGTTGAAGGAAGGTGAAAACAGTTAATGAGACCATTTGTAAACAGAAACAATTTGCTTACCTGACGCAAAGCATATGTTATTGTGGGACAGAGAAAAGAGCTTATTTAAGTGTCAAGCTGCTCTCTAGTGGTTATGTATGTAAGCTGTTGGAAAGCATGCAGTCAACTCTGCCCCACCCCCAACCTCATAAATTTAGTGCACAGGTGTGTTTTTAAGAACAGTAGTATTTTTCAGCATATTTTCCTTTTTGAGTGTGACTTGCCAATTTTACTCTCTCTTATGTAGCAGTAGGCTTCTATAGTAGTCCTGTTGAAAGTTTTCATTTAGGAATTTAAAATACTGCCTGTGTAAAAACACTAGTGTCGCACACATTTTATTGTGTGGTAGAGGAATTTCTCATCTGTAAATTGCAGTAATAAATATCTGCAACAGTTATCTGCAAATATCTATTACATTTCTATGTGCTGAGTAGGCAGAAACAGTTACTGGGCCTGTCCTTTCCTTACATATGTATATTTTCTTTTTTTGATATGCTTCTCTTGGGAGTTCATCAGGTGCATGCTTGCTTTCAATTCTAATTTCATCTGGAGTTAAGTCCTCTATTTTTTATCTACTTTATCTACTATTTATCTAAAACAGTAGAGCTTTCAGAGAAGAGGTCATAAAGTTTGATTCCTATTTTCCAATTCAGAAATCAGAATAGGTGGTTTTATTCTGAAAGTTGCCTTATTAAAAGAAAAAAGCCCAAGTGTTTCAGTATTGATAGAGAATAGCAGTTTTAATCAAAGTTTGAAAGTTTTTCTTGAATTAATTTTTTTTATGCTACATACCTAACATGCAAAAATATTTTAATTGATATGGCCTCAGATTTTCTCCAAGTTAAGCTTGCTTCAACATGTCAAGGAAAGTAACTTCAGTGGGTCTGTGCACACATAAAATTAAGTGTTTAAGTGTTTATAAGATGATAATCTGAGGAATGTTTTGACACTGATAAATTACAGGAATGTTATCCATTCAGTAGTTGTTAGTTTTAAATTTTTATTTTAGTTTTAATTTTTTCTCCATTTTGAAAGGACTACTGAACCATCAATGTGTTATAATGGTATTGTGTGCAGTTCAGAAGTCAATACATCACACTTCAAAAGGAATAAAATTCTTGTGCATTTGGAATGTAAACAACAAAAGTTCTGACCCTGCAAACATTTTATGTCAGTAGAATTTAAATTTGCTGTAATTTTCCATATGTAACTCTTCAATAGGAATGCTGTCACTTATTGAAGATAAATTTTTTTGCAGTATCAGAGATCTAAATTCATGCTCCCCGCCCCCCCTCCGCCCCCCCCAAAGACTGAAGGATAGTTTTATAATGTTTAAGTACTTCTTCTTTGGGATAAACTCGTATCTTGCTAGAACAGTATCAGATTTCAAACAAAGCTTTTTTTTGTTTCGTTGTGTGCTTTTATTCCAAAAGACTTAATGCATTAATTTTAGGCATTTCAAGTGTTCCAGAATATCTTGAACAAACTGTTTCTAAAGAATCTTAGATAGTCAAGGTGAGAATGAAAAGTGAAGGGATTTCTAGACATTTAATATAACCTCAAAGGATAACTTATGTCCACCTTCAGGTGGCAATTGATTCTAAGTACTGTTAAATAAGTAAAAAGGCTAATACTTAGGCTTAGCAGTTAAGTTACCAGTTAAGGCTATTCCAAGATAAGTATAATGTAGAGTCGTCGTCCCTGCAGATACTTGAATTTTATTGGTTCCTGTTCTATACCAAAATTTTGTGGATTGTTGTGACAGATTCCAGCCAGTCTTAAAATTACAACAGTATTATCCAATAGAAACTCTCCTAGGTAAATTCCACTGTTTATTGCCTTGCACCTAAGTGAATGCATTAAGGCACTTCAATTCCCAAGACACCCTTTTGAAATCTGAAATTGTTAATTCTCTTGTAAGCTGCAAAATGGAGAATATGTTCTGACTCTTAGCATTCCAAAATAATGTAAGTAAACCCCAAAACTATGCTACTAGCTGCCTGCATCTAAACTGATTCCGTCAGAGGCTGATTTTGACTACAAACCCTGATTTATATGCTGAAGGGGGTTTTTTTGTTTGTTTTGTTTGTTTTTGGGTTTTGGGGTTTTTTTTGCTTTGTACATAGCTATATTTTCTTGATGTATTTTAGTTCTTAATGTGTTCTTCACGGTTGAATAAGTGATTTCTAGTAAACTTAGCTTTCACAAAAATGTAGTGGAACATGGTGTGTAATATTGGTTAGTGTGTATTAGAGTAATTGAAATGAGATTTCTCAAGCCTCAAATATTTGAATTATC